ACAAAAAACACAGCCATATAGCCAAGAGTCCTTAGCTTCTCCACTCAACTTGTACGTTTGGCTGTGTATGGGTGTATTATCAATAAGACTTTAGAAAAGAATCAGCGATCAATTGCAGTAAAGTCTATATATTTAATTACACAAAGATCAAATTTAAATAGGATATTTGTACCTATTTCAATTTAAAAGAATAGATCATGCATAATGTTTCACTTACTGCTGTTGTGGCGGGTGCTCAAATCATGACCCTGTGAACTTTTTCAACTTTCTCTAAACTGCAGTAACCCCGTTCATAATATTTATTTTCCTATGTGAATCCATTTATATTTGCTCTCTGGTTAGCTTGTAGTATTACACTCATTTAAACAAATGAGACAGATACACAAGCCCTGGAGGGTACTTAGAGTCCATAAGGGGCTCTTTGGGATTTTTATGTCTTCTGAAGATGGATTCCTGACAGCATATTTATTTAAAATGAAATATGCATTTGGAGGACAATAAAAATAGAAGAGGAAAACTATGTATGTAACAAACACATAACTCATCTGTAATTGAATACATTTTTAGTCTTTCATAGTGCATAATTTAGATCTATTAATCTTCTTTTATTTCACCGGGCCAGGGAAGTGCTGAGTGCAGCAGCCTGTTTTGCCCCATCAGGATGTGCGATTAAAAAACATGGCCCTGAAGGTAAGTAGCAGCAGTAATCAAATGGGTTGTTTACCCCTAGTTTCTGCTGCATGACATTTGCTCTGCCCCAGCAGCAGGACATCTAACAGAGCTAATTTCATTTCCTTTAGAGGAGATTGGATTTAAATGTCCTGACCTGATGAGGCTGATGCTGCGTTCATTAAGGCTTCTGTTTTCTGCTAAATGAGTGCAAATGGGATTGCAATGTTTACCATGCAGGTGAAGTATGATTCCTATAGTGTTAGCTGATTATCTTTGGAAAACATTTTGTGAAAGATAACAAAAAAGACAAAATACCTAGATCTCTCCTTATGCTGGTTTATGTCTTCAAATTCCTGCCTATGGAAATGTTTTGTCAGATCGTATTTGTAGTAATTCCAGACTGAAAGCTTAGACAAAGTGTCAAAATGTGTTCATCTTAATGTCTTTCTTCTCTGCACTAACTAAGGGAATGAATTAAGAGTTTAAGGCATTTGTGAACAAATTAATGTGAACAGCTTAGGGCAGGCTGTCTGGTTAAACTAACCATATTAGATCTTTTAAGAGGAGAGTATAAATGGGGCATTCAAGCCTCCTATAGGAAGAGCTCGACTTAGAAATGGAATGGGATTGCCATGGACTCTCATACGTTCACATACAAAAGGAGAAAAAATGTAGGTATGATTGTTTTTTATAATTTTATAAAGGATTTAGCAACACATTTGACACTTTGAGTTGGGTTTCCTCTGATTAAAAGTTGGTGATAAGCTTAGGGGGACACCTTTGGATGTACATGATTTTTACACTTACTAAGCTAGTATATTCAGTGCATCCGATGCAAAAATATGAACAGTGTTTTTGTTTTGTTTTTTGTTATTTGTCTTGTTTTTTTGTGTGTTCTGTGTTCTGTTTGTGAGCAACCACTTATTAGTAGTAAAGTACAATGGAACATAATGGTGTTGTTAAAATGATGGTACTTTTTGTCTTTTGTAAAGAAATGTCACTTTGTATTTTTTTTTTACTTTTTTTGTTGCTGCTGGCATGTTACTCTTTTCGCTTACAAAATTTATTTGCTAAAGCAAAATTACAAGCATAATGAATCCGCTCTTTGCTATTTTTTCACAATAGTTATATCTTATAAACAGGTTGCTGCAAAGGTAAAAATTTCACAAGATACTTCCTTAGACAACTGTCGTCGAGTTATTACAATATTTAGTCTATTTTGCAACATATAGCAATCTGACTTGAATGAAACTGTATTTACCTTAACCCAAATCTCACTGAATGTTTTAATTAACCAGTATAAAATAAATGTGAATCAATTTAGATTTACAAATAAATTAGACCTTTGTGTCTTGTAAAGTATCTTGAATTAAAATGTTTGTCAATTTGAGTCTATACAGTATCTTGTTGATGTATTGTAGAGGCATTTTCCTTGAATGTTTTGACATTTATTAATTTACAAATACAAACCAGATAGTGTTTTACTGGCATTAAGTGTCATAGACCAACACAAATAACTACTTTTTCATTTGTAAAATATTTTTTGTTATATCTCTACCAGCATTTCTGTAATGATCTTGGTTCTGTTGTTGTTCTTTAAGTTTTCTGTTTCAAGTTTAGCCAGGTTTTTCATTGATTTCTAGCTTTTTTGGTGTGTCTGGATTCATTTAAGTTGCTTAGGTTTTTCTGTCTGTCCCCTGCTGCCTCCTTGTGTTCTTTTCCCTTGGCTTCCTCGTCAGCTCTAATCACACCTGTTCCCTATCAGCTCATTAGCTCTACCTTTGTTCAGTCAGCCATAAATACACTCCCTCTGCAGTCCCTCTTTGCTGGTTCCTCGTCTTACCTTTCCTCACCCTGGCTCCTTGTTGGTTTTTCCCTGATGTCTCCATGGTTCTGGTTAGTGTTTGATTTTTATGTTGGATTTTTGGATTCCTGTTTTTGTTTAACATTTTTTAAGTTGGATTTTTGGATACCTGTTTTTGTTGCCTGATCTTGTAATAAACCCTCCAAGAATTCACCTCTGCCTCCCAGCTTCTGCGTTTGGGTCCAATCTAAACCTTTTAACCAAATCCTGACAATTTCAGATCTAGAAAAATACATTTTTGCCCGATTTTTGATAAATTTGTGTCACCTAAATCAAACTGGGTGAAGATTATCTGCGAGCAACCATTTTACGACTCTCTTCTTATTGGAATTTAGGTGTGGCAGTTTATTGTGTTATTCTAATATGTTACTGAACTTAGATTTGATACACCCCCTTGTAGCTCTGGTATTTACCTGTGTGTTTAGGCTCATTGTCCAGTTGAATGGTAAACTTTCCCCATATTTTGCAGCCTCTAGGTTAATTTTTCGGTCTTTGTCGATGTTAAGTTAAGTCTATCTACACATCAGATCTTATCTGAATCCCTTTGTTTGCCAAAGAACGGGATCTCTACAGCAAAACACTGCCATCACCATATTTTCCTGTGTGATGTTTTCAATGTGATGTGCCTGGTTAGCTAACCTTTACACAAGGACTTTTCCATACAGGCTAAAGAGTTTAGTTTGAATCCAGTCTGACCAAGCCGCACTGCTTATATTTTTTTAATGGCCGTCTATTTGCTGGATTTATGGAGCATTTTATCAATAATTTCTCTTTTACCATTTCCCCCTGAGCTGTGAATCTTCATAGCTCATCCAGGGCAGTGTTACATATCACTATTAAACATTAATAGTGCTGTTTTTACAAGCCTTTTAGTCTACGGCTGAAAGGCCTCATCTTGGTGGGTTTGTATTCATTCCATGCTGTTGATTTTGTTGATTTTTAGATTTTTAGACATCGACACAAAGCTTGGGATATAATCACAACTTATCACAAATGTTGGCCAAATCTTATTGTAAGGAATCAGAGAAAGTACTGTAGTTGAATACCACAATTGAATTTTGTAATAAAATAAAAATAAAAAGTAATTTCTATTCACAACCAGCTACTTTGTGTAGTTCTGTGACATTTTAATAAGCCTATTAAAATCTTTATTTTTGTAACATGACAAAAAGTAAAAAGATATAAAAAAATTGGAGTAGGGATAACTTGGGTAACATTACTGGTAAATAAACAAAACTAAATTGAGTTTATGAAACATGTTTTTGAAAATGTTTTGGAAAATGTAGTTTTTTATTACAATAACGACTTTTTCCAGAGCTTTTCAATTAACTTACTACACATATGTTGCCCAGTCTCGCGCTGCAGCAGGTCTAGAGTAGAATAAGAAATTATATAGAAGTGAGAAATTAGATCAAACATCCTCTCCTGATTCACCTTTGTGCCAGTGCTGATTTGAAATACTGCTTTGGGACCATTGTTGAGCTGACAGTGTCCGCTGCTGGCTGGAGCGTTTACTGCATCCCTCAGAGAGCAAAGCCGGAATGTGCTGGTCAAAAACTGCTGTACAATACCTTGTCTATTTCCAAAAATTCTGAGATGGAATACAGCCTAAATTATTCAGGAAAAGAACCTTACTCTATACTTTACAACAATCAAAAAATAAGTTACTGTTCATTGCAGACTCCAGCTATGGGAGATTAAGCTGTTTATTTAAAATCCAATTACTGCTATTTTTCATTAATTTTGGGCTATGTTTTTCCCTCCTTCATACAGCTGTATATCAACAGGTGAGCTGGACATGCTGAAAATAAACACACAAAAAGGGAGGTTCAGTGCAACACAGCAATCCCCTATGAGCCCACATGTTTAATTACAGCCACAAACAGCAGATGGCTCTCTTGAGTTTTAATTTCTTTTTGCTTGAGATCGAGGCTTAGGTGTGTTTATTATCTGTAAACCTATTTATTTGTTTTCTTTCTTTATGGGTTAGTTTTATAAACGTTTTTTTTTTTATGATTGTAGATCACAATGTACAGTGGGATGAGAGCCCTGGGTGCAGAAGGGCACCTTATTGTTACAGCTTTCGTATAAGCTGCAGCCGACCTTTCAGGTGAGGGGTTTTTGTGTAGAAAACGTCTCCCTCCATTTCAGTAAGGACCCGAAATGACAGGCGCTATCCGTGGTGCTGAAGCTACGTATGAACATCGCAGCGCAAGGACGGTGTGCTGTGACATTTTCTAGTTTTGCTCTTATTAAAACAAACTTATATCACTCCATAGCTTTTTGATTTTGTAAATCTTAAAGGTGCATAAAATAATTTAGGAAGAAGGATAAAGCAAAATGAGATGTGATGTTACAGGGAGCAGAGCGAAAATATACAATATACCTCCTCAACTCCTGTTAAGCCTTTTTCTCTCTCCCTTAGTGTTGAAAAAGGAGGGGGGGCGTCCTCGCTTAGTCGGGCAGTCAGTGGTTAGGACTTGTTGATGAGGGGGATTTAGTTGGTCTGGGGCGTACAGGCTAAAAACCCACCACTGATTATCACTTCACATCCTTTGCCCCCGCTCATCGAGCGTGGGAAAATACATCGTCTAGGTTGTCAGTGGCTTTTCTTCCCGGAATCTCATTTCGCCAAGGATCGCCTTAGAAGCATCACCCTCTCAGATGTCATGGGTCATGCAATGCGCTGATCTTCGGGGAGTTTACATTTCTATATCAAAATACTACGCAGACGTCATCTGCAAGGCGCTCAGATCAGCTCCCCCCTTCCTGCTCAGTCTGACTGTCACCGGACTGAGATTTGCAGAACATTTTCGGAGGAATGTCCAATAATTGCGGAGCTCTCCGATTTTGCGTATTTTTCTGTGAAATGTGCAACTCTTCTGGGGAAGCTGTCGTGGATATCCTTTTGCAAACTTCGCGTCTCGCCTTGGCTTTTCTGCTCTCAGCCGGGTGGTTATCTTCGTAGGAGGTGCCTGTGTTTGTTTAATTGCCCGGCGGCGCACATGCACAGGCGTCCCCACTGGCCGAGCTGTGCTGCCATTCGTCTGACAGAAGAAGGAAAAAGGATAAAACAGAAGATAAAAAAAAGGGAAAAGAGGGTCGAAGATATTTTTCTCCCCATTTAGAGTCCCGCAAGGACGCAGTGGAGCTTTTAAACATTTCTAAAGACGATTGACTGATTGAGAGCAGATGCAGGCTACAGGTATGAATATTCTGAGATCTCCATGCGCATGAGTTGGGCTTTTTTAATCAAGCGCGCTGTCACTGATGAGCGGGATTGCTCATGAAGATGTTAAATTGTTCCACCATGCTCAAGAATATTTCGAATGATAATTGGATCAGGTTTAGTATCACAAATATCATGTAGTGTTTGAACAAAGGAGGGAAAAGCCAGCAATCAGAAATACCTTTCGCAGCCGGTATGGGACTGTGACCCGGGCTGTGAGCTCCGTGAGGTGGCGGTTCTCTGCGCGCAGACTGGACCTGTGCGGTTGTGACATTTCCGAGCCATGGCCGCTGCCATCGCGAGTGGGTTGATCAGACAGAAGAGGCAAGCGCGGGAGCAGCACTTGGACAGACCCTCCACCAACCGACGGAGGAAGAGCCCCAACAAGAACAAGGGGCTCTGCAATGGGAACCTGGTCGACATCTTCTCAAAAGTGCGCATCTTTGGGCTCAGGAAAAGGAGGCTACGGAGACAAGGTCTGGAAACTTCAAAACTTAAGTGTTTTGTTTGTGAGCATATAGACAGATATGCAGTAATCAGTGATCAAAATCAGCCAATTATTATTTGATGATTAGCTCTGAATGTTTATTGACATGTAGGATTAAAAAAACATATATATTTTTGCATCCTATTATCAAGATAATCTAAAATCTAAAAATTTAGAATCTAAATTTAAATGTCAGAACCTATTATTTATGTTTACCTTAGAATTAAATAATTGACATGGTTAAAATAGCTAAATTGGGCACTCAAACTCTAAAAAAAAAAGACATCATAAGCCAATTTTCCATTATTCATCTCTGATCAAGCGATCAGATTAATATTTCCCCCCTCCTATTCAATAACTATAAAGCTAATCAAGTTTCACCATATATAGCCTTTAAACCTATGTAGCAAGTTGCATTTCTTATCTGAATTAAATAGATCTAATCAAGAATTTGATACAGATCTGGAAGAAATTGTAATTATTTTATTTCCTGTTGGGTAAAATAACATCACCTGTTTCTTTTGGATTTGCCTTTGGAGAAGAACTTTGGAATCATTAGTAAAGGCCTCGGTGAAAACAACTAATATTTTGAGACTGGCAAAAACCTGATTGGTGCTACACATCGGCTTTTTGAAATTGGTGTAAATATGGCCGCACATACAACCTTGGTGTAATGACTATTCACTGTTGGAGATCAAAATATTGTTCCTCGTGGTAATCAGCACAATAAATAGTGAAATAAATCATTATTACCCCATTTTTAAATACATTAAACTTATAAATGTTTAGGTTTTCTGTTGGAATCAGACTACTTTTTCTATTCAAGAACATAAACAACTTTTTTTTAAATGTTATTTGGTCCAGGCCTTGAAATGAAATATAACTTGTCAGCTGTAACAAAAACGACAAGTAATAACATCTATCGTGTTACATTTTTATGTTCAATGAAGAGAAAAGATAAGAAAATATTTAGGGCTATGGTCTTCAAAGTCTGTTGGCTGTTATTTATGTTACTTATGTGCTGAATTTTATAGAACATGATAAACTAGAACCATTAAAAGTTAGGATTTGCAAGTGAAAAACAAACAAATAAAAGAGGAGAAATCATATTTCTACAATCAGTGTAAACAGGTGATAAGAGAAGTACTGAAGGGTTGGCCACAGATTGATATGGGTCAATTGTTCACTTGAATAGCTCTGACTGGTAATCAGCATGCTTGATCACCTATGCTTTTTTGTTTGTAATGCATAAACAACATGAAGATTGAAACACCCTTTTTTTAGTTTAGCAAAAAACATCTATAATGCCTTTTATCCATAAATTTTCATGCTCCTGTTCTTCTGTTATTTTCTATCTTTTTTTCTTTCAGCACATTTCACTAAATGTGTTGTTATAGGACTTATAAATGGAAAAAATAGGTCTAACTTTAAAGATAATATATGTTCCAGGAAAGATCTGGTCGGTGTATCTTTGGATTTTGCACTAAGTACAGTATAAAGCCAAGGAAACATTTTGCATTTCATTCATGAAAAAAATCTAAAGAACAAGAAGATGATGAAATCTTAGTTGTGAGCATGAAAAAAGTCAGGAGTTGGAGACATTTTTCTCTAAATCATCTACATTAAATAATGTAGATGATTCAACCAATCTCTCACAGCTGCTAATCTGTAAAGAGCATGCTATTTTTATAGCATGGATATACAAAAATTGTTGAATTTACTTATAGCCCAACTAAAGATACCAACCGATTAATGGACACACTAAGTTTCATGCAGGTTAAAAACTGTCACCATCTTGAGCAGAATTAAGGTTAAACTTTTCAAACAGACTGTTTTTCACCAATGCAGGGGCGCTTAGAGGCCTCTTGCTCAGGCAGATATTTACTGCAATTATGAAAATGTCAGGAATATTTAAGCTGTAACGTGGCAGCCTGGGATTATTAAAGAGCACTGTCAATAATTATTTCAAAGCTGCTAATGACGTTGAGAAATTACAAAAAATTCAAAAAGGAAAGTTGGGTACATTTGAATGATTGCAGTGATTCTTTAAAACTAATCATGCATCAAACCTGTTGCTTCAGATCCACTTAAACTATGGCCGATTGACAAGATACTTAAGATGAACCATCCAGACTGTGCCTTAGTTAAAGAAAGTGCAGATGCATTGTTTAGTCATTCATCTTCTCCACAAAAGAGAGCCATTTTGATTGGTGAGTCCCTCTCGTGTTCCCTGCTTTCACATTTGAGCAACATGATGAAATGTCTCCTTTACTAAATCCCACTGATTACATGGATTAAAAGGGCTTTGATAGAACAGGATTCATATAATAACCACAGAGGACACATCTGGACACAGGTCAGAGTTCATAATAATTGGAGGTTTAATAAGTTATCCTTTAAGCTGCTGTGTCATAGTACGGCTCCGTTTTTCCGTGGTCAGCGGTTGTCCCTCTTCTGTTGACCTGTGGAGCATCACTTGGTATTCGGAGCAGAGATCAGAAGGTCCCCAGTATGGACAGAGTGTGGTGTTATGTTTGGCTGAGTCTCTTTATGTGCAATGGACTGATTAATCTGTTAGGCAGATGTCCCCATCAGCTATGGAGGTCCAAAGAGAAAAATAAAAGAAAGATAATCAAACGTGAATATAATAATCAAATGTATTAAAAAAGTATACATTTAATTAAATCTGGCAATAATAAAGATAAAGATGAGGAAAATACATTGACATCTAAACTCAATATAAACATGTCTTTTTTTTTAAATCAGTATTTTTAAATTGTGACACCCCAGCTCCCAGAAATTCACAGAAGTAATGGAAAAGCCATAAAGGAATGAATCTTATTTCCATTTGTATAACTACAATCAGAGTTGACTCTTGCTTTATGTTGTTTTAATTGTATTTTGTTTACGATTACAGACCATATAAAAAGATGCATAATTTACTACAACCACACGAGAATCTACAAAAATGATCTAAGATTTTGCTGTGATGGCAGGCTTTTCCTTTTAAAGTCCTGTGCAGTCCACATTTTTCACTCCTCGTCCTATTTTTTTTTTCTTTTTCACCATGTAATCACCAAAGCACACAGATTTTAAGGACTAATGACTTGTTTAGTGTACCCAACTCAATGTAAACCCTTAGAGACTTCATAGACCTTTTGTTTTTCTGGGTTATGTTGGCCGTATGCACGACCAATCTTATGTGTCGTGAGACCAGCGCTTCCCAAGTGAATACAAAGAAAACACTTTGACAGCTGAGCCGAGAACAGAGCACCTTTCTGCCATTCAGCTGGACAGATATAGATTGAAGTCAGATTCAGAATCCCAATGAGATGTGTAAAGATGACAGAGTGAGGGTGACTTAAAAGAAGCCCTATGTCCTGTATTCCTTTTGGCACCATATATTGATCTTTTGAGTGCAGCAGTACTGTAGTTTTTCTTTTTTTTCTGTAGGCTGCCATGACTGACTCTGACATATTTTGTGGTTTTTCGTCTTTCGATTGGCTTCAAACTTATTCCATCCAATCTTCACGATATGTTAGTTTGCTTTTGATTTATTTCCACCATAAAAACGTCTAAGTAGAAAAATGATGGTCTGTTGTTCTAAAATAAAGATTTATTGCTTTTTATGTTCATTATAGAACACAGATGTGGTCTCTGTCCTTCTCTGGCAACTCATGGGATATGCCTGGAACACTTTGCATCACATTTGCTTTGATTACAAATCCTTCTTGTGTTTTGATGGCTGATGCATAGCTGCTGTTTTGTTTTTTTTGTTAGTTGGTTTTATATATTTATATTCTTCATCTTATGAGGATTAAATGCAAGTTCTAAATCCTGTTATATTCAAATCTGGTAAGTGAGTTCTGGCTCCATCCAGCTGTGGGTCATAATCCCACTTCTCTGAGTCTAATTATCCCAGCAGATTAGATTCATAAACCATAAAATCACATTGCCCAGATCAGACTATTAGATTAGTTTGCATGATCTAGAGATCTTTCCTAGATGATTGGTCTCCTGCACGATGAATGTTTGTTCCACCACAGTGTTGACAGGACACTGTTTTGATGGCATATCCATGAGACGTTACACATACTCTTAAGGAGCACTGTGATGGTGGTTTCATTATAATGTGCAGATGCATTGCTTAATAGGAAGATAAATGTGGCTTTAATACAGAATATGTAAGGGAAGGATACCTCTTAAAGGCTGCAAAAAATACTGGTGTTAGAGACATGTAAGAGAGTGGTAGCTGTCATTCTTGCAAAAGTTCGTTTTACAACTAATTAAAGGTGAAACCAAATGCACATTTTTTGTTTTTGAATTTCATTAATTGAGAACTATGTATTTTTTTTACCTTCATCTTTACAATTCAGCACGTAGTATGTTGTATACAAAAATTAGAAAATTTAAAATGGCTCAAGAGTTGGAAATGCTTTAGCAAGGCAAAGGGGATATCTCCTTGCTGGTCTGGAAAAGCCCTTTTTTCCAGAAACATCCAAAGTGGGTCAGACAGGACAGAGCTGACAGCAGTCTACAAGTAGTGCTGCAGCTGTGCCAGTGTGGTGTATGTGTATGTGTGTGTGGGCCAGTCCTTCCTTCATGGTCGGCTTGCTTTAAACTGAGCTTGACGTATGTGTCTGCACAAACACAGGAATGACACGACAGAAAATGAGACAAGAAAATGTGGCAAGGGAGTGGAGAGGCCACTTATGGAGAGAAAAAAAATCACACCCTCTCTCTGACAGGCCAATTTATATGTAAAAAGGACCATGGTTGTACACCGGAGCACTTTGAAAACCTGTGCTTCTGATGCACATTGTTTTCCAAGGAAACCCCCCTGCTGATGCCAAACCAGCGCTCTGTTTCCCTAGAAACAGAGAAGTAGACATACAGGGTTTGTGTTGTAAAAAGCACGTAAAAAAAAAAAGTATACAACATTAATACAACTGGGGGAAGTCTAGCTCCCATCTATAATTAACAACTCCG